AGTCTATGCATCCAGACTTTTTTCCTTCCTTGCAGAGAGATGAATTGGACAAGTAGAAGCTTGTGCTCTCTGGAGGTGACAAGGAGCAGCATGGGCAATACAGTAAAGCTGAACAATTGTAAGATTTTAGCTCACTGGAGCAGACAATTATACAAATAGCCCATACAGTGAAAGGTAGTGCCTGCACTCCACTCAGACTCCCTTGTCTAACAGAATAAGATGAATCCAAGTAAGGGACCTGCTGGCAGGAATCTCAGTGTCTCAAAAAAGCTTTACAAGGTTCTGCTGTACTAAGTAACAGCAGAACAAAGGCTTAATGCTTGTGTGTCTTAACTCATCATATTTGCTGTTTGAAATCTGAATTTCTGTGTATGAAACAACATATGTTGACAAGCATATATGCTTGTGGATATTTAATGATCGAACCAAGCTACTTCCAGCTATTTCTGTAGCATCTCCTGCCTTGTACAGCGGCTGCAGTTCCTGTGTTGCATTTTTGGTGATGAACCAGACAAGAGTGTTTTAGAGGCAGGCAACTATCAAGTCACCTTTCTGAGTAGTGCTTAAGATCTTTTAAGTAAAGTCTTTATACGTCATGGCAGTAGGGGTGGGGTGGGTGCCTAAGTGAGGAAAATATTAAAGTTCCAGTGAAGTGGAACTGATAACTACTATTATACTATCACACTTTAAAAAAAACCAGCTGCATGCTGTTAAGTAGAATGGACAAGCAATTTTATCTTCTAATTTTTCATTCATGCATAATACATAATAGTATATTTGTTGTATTTTTATTATCTTGAAGAAAGGAAGACCTCGGTTGACAATCAGAACTGTTATTAAGTCAAAACTTGCCAAAAAAAAGCAGATATTTTGAATTTTTTTTTAGAACATCAGGTTTATCCTTCTGCTATGTGTTTTAATGACATTGGAAGAGTTTCTTGAAGCACTTAATGCAAGTCCATGGTGGTTCCTTTGTTTTTAAACAGCAATCTGTTCCCTTCTAGGTTCATCTTCAAATATAGAATCCTACAAGTCTACTTGGTCACAATGATATAATGCAAAGTATGGACAAGTTACATTAGATCTAAGCAAAAAGTAATTCTAATGCATTCTATAAAACCAGGTGCCAGATAATATTTCCTGTGACATGACAACCTTATGTAATTTGGAGGACACATTTCTTTTGTTATAAACTGTCAAGAAAGAACTCAGGAACACACCAAGAAAGAACTTTTTGTACATTACTAGTCAGTCCTTAAAACATGAAATCCGTCTCAAATTAAAATAGCAATTTTTTTAAAGTTAGAATCGGACTGGCACTTTTGGATTGTTGGGTTTTTTGTTAGTTTTTTTTTTTTTGCTTGTTTTTTCTTGTTTGCTTGTTTTTTCATTGCAGTAGAACACTTAGAAATACAACACAGTTTAAGGATAAATGTTTGTTATCATCCTTCTTTGTATCATAATTTCACTTCTACTCCTTTACCTTTTGCCTTCTTCTGTGACATATTAACTGAAACCAACACGCAATAACTAGAATTATATATATGAATAATCAGCCTACCCTTGAACACAGCTTCATTCTGAGTTTTGTTTGAATGAAGTAAAATGAGCTTAATAACATTCTGTCCTCACATATCCCAGAAGTATACAATTTTTTTCTGGAAATAGTTTAATCCATAATAGTGAAATTAAAGGAATTAGGTGGATCATTTAAAGATGATCATGTATAGAGATTTGTCATGTTTTGAGAGCTCCAAAATCCAATTCCCTAGTCCAAACCTCCTCCCACATCTCAACCCACTGTAAGATGGTTTTCCAGACAATCACACAAGACTTAAAATGGGGGAAAGGGAATATATATTACAATGACTTTACAAATAAATGCTACAATACATTATATACAATTTTAGCTATCTCTACCATGACATAAAAGTATTTACAATGGATCAAATCTCTTCTCCCCTCCAAATAAAAGTCCAGGAGGGAAGAAAGAAAGATCCCTTTTCTACTTTCAGAGCAGTAGTCCCTAAGACAGCAGACTTTCTTCTTCTCATGCATGCAGCAGCTGGGGCTGGATCTCTGCCAGTACTCATGAGGGGGTATCCAAGCCCCCTCGGTCACTTGTTTCCAAGCGAGGGTCTTCTTCCATAGGCTGTGTTCACCAGGACAAGGGTCACTTCACTACGTCATATCACGAAGCTCAGGGGTCTTCATGACGGTCCTTATCTTCAGGGGATTCAAGTTCTCTACAGAGCTCTGTGCTCTGTCTCAAGCAGCGGGGTGGGGGGCAAGGTCACCCTCTTCATTCTTCTCGGAGCTTTTCAGCTGCTCTCTGTAAGTGCTGTAGCACTTTAAGACTCTTTCAAGTAAGAGTCCATCATCTTCCTCCTTTCTCGGAGGTCTCAGAGGGGTATGGGGTTTTATTTCAGTTCTTACCCCAACTTCCTCTCTCTCTCTGCTGCTGCAGGCTCTCGTTCTCTTTCTTCTTCCAGTTGTTCTCTCTGTGTGCTGCACACCTGTCATTTTTGCTTGGTCTTATCTCTCCTGGCTTTCTGCCACCTTCTCCGGCCGGTGTTGTTTTTTTGCCGCCGCTTCTGCTGCTCACGGTGGAGGGAAAAAAACCTTCCAGCCTCCCGGTGGAGGGAAAAAAACCTTCCAGTCTCCCAGTCACAGAGCTCAGTTCAGTTTAATACTGTTTCTGAGTTTCTATGACCCCAGCCAGGGGCTGGGGGACCATGGCCTGCCAGAGGGGCTCTTGCCCCTTCTGCTCGTGGTTCTCACAACATGGCTACTTCTTCTACCACACACTACAACTACCTTCTCTTCTGTTCTGCTTGTGATATGTTTATATTTTGCAGAAGCGCTCATTGGCTAAAACCTCAACACTTCAAGGGTCACCACCCCCTGAGGTTTTACCATTTTATAACTGCAGGGGGAAAACTGTTTCCCCACCACAACATGCTTATTTAGACACAGTCTGGGTTTCTGCCTGTGGTTACTATAATCTCAGTTTCTGTTTCATTTTTCTCTCTCTACACATTTCTCACTTGGAAACCAGAGTATGAAGATATTGCATCCTATACAAGCAAGAGAGCATAGGATGAATGTATATTGAAACTATTCATTATTATAAACCCAGTATTTTTCCAGAACAGGTGATATTATGAAAAATCTGCCAATACTCTTTGCAATGTTTCTTTTAGAAGCCAAAATATGCAGCTGAATTGGGATCTCCTATTTGAGTGTCTTTAATTGCATTTGCCTTCAGGCTGTGCTGGAAGCTATAGCATCTAAGGTGGACAAGTCTCAGAAGTATTATCATCCTCACTCTCTGTAGATGATAAGTGACTTTTTTAATTTAAAAAAAAAGGAAATATAAGATGATCTAAAAAAAATTTCTTCATCAGCATCCATAAGTTTTCCTGAAGAAATATGTATGCAGTATTTAATTTTTTTATATAGTTACTTGTAAAAGATGACTCATGCTTCAAGTCACAGAAAGAAGGTTTTCAAGATTTTTGTAGTAGAAGAATGGCAACATGATTTTGTAACAGGCAAGACCATATTTATGAAATTCTTCTCTTCTTCCCTGCTTATTTTAAAGTCTTGATTGAGCACTGCCTTAAAATAAATTCTCCAATAATTGAACAAAAGTTTGTATTATCTCTTGAATAATTCAATCAATACATTTCACTATCTACAAAATTAGTTAATCAGCAAAATATTTGTCAGTCTATTCAACCATAAAATATTTTTATTCTAATCTTAAGTAATATGCAAGAAATTTTCTTCCATTTTGAAAGATGTTACGCAGATGAAAGGAGCCTTCGACGAAAATTTTTAAAGAAAAGAATGTATGCGCTTGACTATTAAAAAGTTCCTCTTAATCTTAAAATTGCTCAGGGTACTAATACTTCTCTGTTCTAATGCAATCAGTTTGAATGGAAATAATTTATTCTACTGAAGTAGAACTCTAAGTAAAACTTGCTAACCTGCTGAAATGCATTTACTTGGCACAAACTATGCTGTAAACCTTCATCCAAATTTTTGAGTAGTAGTTCAATTAGAGTTCATTGTAAGTTGAAAACTGTTATAAATGTTGTTTAGGATAAGGACTGAAAAATATCAGTTGTAAAATATAGAAATAATATGATGGTTTTATAGATAATAATAAAGATGTGATTTGGAGTTTGGTTTTTTCCCTCGCGCATGGACTCCGCACGTGAGATTTTCTCTTTATAGAAGTTTGGCACAAATTTGAGAAATCTGTGAAAAGTCCTGCATATAGATGGGTCGTATTTCTTTTTTATATTAATAGTAATGAATATTTATGATAGCTGAGTCTTCACGCCCTATATGCTTTTATTCTATTAGGTTAAAAAAAATCTTACCTTCGCTACAGCAAGACGTGAATCAAGACCCAGGTTTTCTTTAGTCAATTGCCTGTAATTGGCACTTGATCCAGACTTAGTTAACCATACCAGCAATAGGTTCCTGCATTTCTTAAGTTAATACATATTTTTGAGAGCCCAATGCCTCTGTCTGCCTGCGTATGTATAAAGACAAGGGCACTTTATTTGGTCCCAGCATTAAGCCTCCATTTCCTTTGGGAAGTACTGTAGATGTATATACATGTACTACCTTTCCTGAGCTCAAGAAATGTCACTTGTGCACTATACAGCCTTAAAAAATGGTTTTTTTAGAGAATGCAAGACAGAAATTATTCACATTTCTATGAATATAGATACTTCTGACTAATAAAGCCAGGAGGAACTGTGAACTGCTTCATCCTCTCTCTGCATACTTCATTGCTTTTCTTAAAAAGTGAGAATAATGATTTCCTGCCTTACTTTTCCTAAGAGTCTCATGGAGCTGAATGCTTGTAATACTGTACTATTCCAGGCCCTGTGGTGATAAGGTCCATGCACTGGACCCTTCTCTCAACTCAAGACTACCAATACCAGAATTGTAGACCCTGTTTACTTTGTTTGGAGGCTTACCTGCTGCAGTAAATCCCATTCTGTTAACCACCAACTGGAAATATACATGCTAATGATCCCACTCAGCCTGATTTATTCTTAGTGAGACACCAAGGTGGGCAAACTGGGCTGGAGTCAGTTCACCAGCCCAATTTCTGCAGATTGGGTGTAGCCAAGGAGTCCTAGAAGGAAGAGGACTAGCTTATACTCAGCCCTGCAACAGAAGCGCAGGTACAAGAAAGGCACACGAATAGTTCCAGATAGATTTTAACTTATCCAGTTTAATGTTGCTCATGATCTCTTCAGCAACTCTCTCCCCAGTTATTCTTTAGTCTGACTGAATGGGCCTGTAAACAGCAAATAACAACTTGTGAAACTAACGTGCATTTGTCTGCTAGTCACCAGCTCTGCTCATGTGAGTTTCAAAAGCCTTGTCTGACCAGTCCTGACATATGGAGCTGCTCAGAGATGAATCATGAAAGAAACATATGGATTAAACATTTATGGCATTAAGATTCTTACTGAAGCAGAAGGTGGCCTGTGTAGGCCCATAGGGATGATTCAGAGTCACCCCTACATTTTCTTGAGGGTGAGAGGAAACTTTATTCCATTTAATGTCATATTTGCAAACTCACCACTGCTTTTATATCTGTTTAAAAAGTTCACGATAAGATTGCTTGGAGAAAAACAGCATGACTTGGTAATTAAGGTGCAGTTTTAACTTGTGTAGCTGATGGCATTCCTTCGAACCACACTGATCAAACCTCATGTCTTTCCAGATGCAAGGCTACCAAAGCAATTTTATGCACAGCAAGGCTACAGATTTATGTACCTTCTCCGGGCTGTATTCTTATTACTGAAGTCATCCAGTCTCTAGCTGTTGAATTTTTTCAAAAAGCCTGCTCAATATCTGACATTTAAAAAAAGAAAAAAAAATGTAGAAAACAAGTTCAGTACTCTGCCTTCCACTGAGAATGTTGAAATCTGCCAAGTTAAACCAAAAAACTCTCATAATTAAGGCTAGTGCTTTTTTACACCATAAGAAATCTTTAAACCCCACTTGCTTCTGCTGTAATGGAAGTAGCTGAAACAAGAAAAAGGCAGAGATGAATACACTGTCTGCACTGTTGGTCTGCCCATCCACTCCCTGCTTTCCAGTTGCTGGGGGATGAGGATGAAATGGCAGGCCCTGTGAGAGTAGTTTTCAAGTGGTCCTGAACTGGAACTTTTATTTCTGATGCAAACTAAGAAGCTTTTGACAAGGTAGCTATTGGCATCTGGCATTTTTGTAGTAAGAATGCATGAATTTGAAAGCCATTTCCTTTCACGTTTGAGGAAAAGCACAAAAGGCAAACTGATATAACAGATGTATTATAAATAGGAATAAAACACACATGGCTAATTCTTAGCTAGAAATTTCATGAAGCTTCTTTGATGTTGTATCCACACATGTGTATATAAGTTATATATAGTTAATTCTGCATCTGAATATGTGCATCTAATTCATATGCACTACTCGTAATTCAGTCACATAAAGCGATGCACATTCACTATGCTGTGATAAATATATATATCACATACGTGTGTGATAATCACAATCATTTTAATTTAGCTTCCATTTTTCTTTCAGACTCTTTCTTGTTGATTTCAGTTGCAGTTTCTTCTAACAAAAAAAAATTCTCTGAAAATTTTAGGAATCATAAAATAAGTAAAAATTCAGAATAATTTTTAGTTAACTTATTTTTCTGAAAAAAAGGAGTTTTTCATAATTTATCGACTTTAAAATGGTTTTGGTAAGATTTGGTTTTAATATTATAAGTTTGGGGGTTTTGGTTTTTTCTGGGTGTTCTGGGGATTTTTGTTTTTGTTTTTGGTTGGTTGGTTTTTGTTTTTGTGAGGTTTGTTTGTTTGTTTTGGGATTTGGAGGGTTAGTTTATTTACTTGTTTGTTTTGGGGGGTTTTCTAGGTAAGTTAAAGCTTCCCACCATATTATTTTGGCTTGTATGCAATAAATTGTTTATCTCAGTTTTTACAATTTCTCAAAAATCCATTTTTTCAAGCAGTTTCCAAAGCATTAGTCCCAACCTTGAAGTGAGATACATATATGTATGAGAACTGTTAAATTCCCTCCACAGATCTTTCGATCTTAGCCTTTGTGTTAAGCAACAAACACTTAGATCACATTGACATGGATTACTATAAATTGTGAACACAGAATTTAATTATTTTGGAGGTGTGATTGTAGAACTGCCAAATAATTTTTTGTTAATTTGCTCATGTCTCTATCTCCTGTCCATGGATAGATGCTGTAAAAGAGATTTCTTTCTTACATAGATGAGAAAATCCATTTGATTTAAAACCAGTTGAACTTCATTTACCTAGATGAATTAATACCTTCCCTTCTAGGAAGACTAAAGCAGTGAATTATATCTAGTCTTGGACTGAGGGTGGTCATCTAGGAAAGGAAGCTCTCTCTAAGGAGAGGGAACAATAAAAGAGTGAAGGGGACAGAAATCTTTCTAACTATAGTCCTCTAAACAAACTCTCAGCAGTTTTTTTCTGTCACAACTTCTTAGTCCCTTCAAACTCTCCAAGCAGAGCCCGCCAGAAAGATGCTATAATAGTTAATGGTCAAAGACATGGTGGATACACTCATCAAAGAGAAGCAGCCCAGGATGCAATTTATATATGTTTGCCTTCAGTCCAGACCTATGCATACTAAATAGCCTAAACAAGGTAGGTTTGTAAATATTTTGTAACTTCATAACACTGTTAGTATCATTTTGTAACCGTTAAGCACTAACCCACAGATAATAGCCATAACTGCAGAGAGGCAAATTGAGATTTGTAGTAAAATTGCACAGATAAGGTGCTGGAACACCTACGCAAGTAGCGAGCTAATGATGTAGATCAGGTATGAAAGAAACCAAAATAATCTTGCAGAGCTTGGTGGAATTGAAATAATCCTGAAGAATAAGTGAGGTGAAGTCAAAAAAAAATTAAGAAGGTTTAGTTAGGTCAAGGGTATTTGAATTTCCCTTTTTCTTTTGAACAGAGAACATAAAATAGCAATCATAAGCAAGGAAAAGACGGAAAAGAAAGAAGTTGCCTGCCTTCATTCCGTCATCCCTTTTCACAGACCTCTAAGCATTGGTTGCCTTGAACTTGGGCACTGAGACCATCGAGGCACCATAGCCATGAAGAACATCAACTCCATCATATTGTATACTCACAGCTAATTTAGGATAAGCTTGTTTAAACCTATTTGTTTGAAAATACAGAGAGATAATTAATAGTGAATAAGAACTAATTTTTAGCAGTGTGGATTGCTGATGAATGTCAGTCTAGTAAACTATTGTTTCCAAATTTGAAACAGGCCAAAGTTTTCAGTCTTTTAAACATTGCTATCACAGTGATCTCTAATTCTCTTAAAAGACATGTATATATTTCCATATATATACATATATATGTATAATCAGTTGCAATAAGTTGAAGACAACTGCAATTATGAATCATGTTAGTAAACCTTACTAAGAAACAGGATATCTTAGCTTAAAATTCTGCTAATGATGTAGCTGTTGGTTAACTGGTAATGCATACAAAGTGTGTATAGGTCTGCTTGCGTAAAACTGCAAAGATACACTGTGGGAATGGTGTATTTTCCAAGGCAGTATGCCTCCGACCTCTAATAGATCAAAAGAATACTGGTGTGATACAAATATTTGTACACCAACAAAAATGTTATAAATAAACAATATGATTTAAATATAACTTGTGGATTCACTTTGTCTGAATAAGATGTTGGATTGGAAAATCTCGAAGCAAAACCAAAAGAACTCTACCAAAAAACCCAATTTTTTAACATGGCTTGCTTTGGTAAAAAAGGGTTTTTTTCTTTAGTTTGGTTTGTTGTTTGGTTAGGTTCATCCTTCCAAACAGACAAAAAGTAAATATTTATTAAATATAAAAAATAATATTATTGTGGAGTCAAAGTAACCATGTACAACTTAAATAAGCTTTTTGGCACACACATAACTTTCTAATGGCTGTATTTCTTTTGGGTTTGTACCTTTTGTTTTAAAAACAAGAAAAGCATGAGCTATTAGAGGTCTTCTTGGGAAATAGCTTCTTCTACCATTCTTAAATGTTGTCTAATTTACAGAAATACTTTAACTATATTACTACTGGTCATATAATGTTCTCTGTAGTGTAAAATTTTTTTTCTAACAGTTAATGTAATGGCAGGTCATTTTATAATGTTACTGAGTCCTCAAAGCTGTAGTAAATAAAAAAAAAATTAACTTTTCAAGTATCTAGGAAAACACAGCTTAGATTCAATGGTCAGTAGTTTTCTCTGTAAATAAGCAAGAAGCAATCTCTTAATGATCGCAGTTAACAAATTTGTTTGGAACAAAATACAAAAGAGAGAGGAATGAAACATTTTAAACAATAAATTTATTAATATAGTCAACAAATATTTTATGCAAAGTTTTAGTTAAGTATAGTTTGGAAGAAAAGAAAATTCTGGTGTTGATTGAAAACAGACAGTTCAAAGCTCTTAATACACAATTAACCAATTAAGTCTGATTTATATGGAAAATGGTCTTGTATAAAAATGTGAGTGCACCCACACAATCATGATATTCCTTCTGAAATTTCAGTAACTGATCAGTTATCAGATATTTAAAATTAAATCATTGAGCTGTAGATGTTGGCACAAACAATGTAAGTTTATACTACATACATACTATATAAACCTTTCAGTTATACAAGTTTATAAACCTCATTACTTTATAAAAGAATCTTATATGTTGTTTATTTTTCTTTAATTTATTTTTCTCTCTAAATTAAGAGATAAAATTGCATTAACTACAGAAATGATGGATCAAAAATGTATCTGTAATAGGGTTTAAAAGTCTCTGAGTTGCGCTTTTCCTTGTGTATCCACCCCTGACCAGTGCTGCACATAGGACACGGGGACAGGTGAGTCTTTGTTGTGACTCCTTTCCTACTGCTCTGTGACAGCTGGTATCTCCTGACTTGCATATAACCAGTCTCGCGTTCTGTGTTTTTCAGTACATTTACTATTTTTTTTTTTTTAATAGAGGTTATTTTATGACTGGCAAGGTACTCACTTTAGGAAATGTGATCATATTGATAAGAGTCTGTTATGCTTTTCCAGAAATATGAACAGTCCTGTCAGAACATAAAACATTTACAGCATTGTCAAAGTGTTAAAGGCTAGCCACATAAGCTCAACTTGTTTATGAAATCCAGGTCTTAATTTAGTTCCCCATAGATAAAAAGAATAAAAACTGTCAAGCATATGTTTATCCTGGTGTATTATCACTCTTGTTGAACAAAATCCAGGAATTTGGTTCTCCTTCCAGAAGGTCAACAATAATTGCAATTCTACACCATGCTGTTCTGATGCTCTTCTGCAATTATAAATGAAAATTTATGTTCTCAAATTGGCATAATCATAAAAAGTCACCACCTAGCATAACAATAATAAAATAATGGATGAGGTTATAAAACTATGAGTGTGCTAAACATTGTGAATTAATTTTTGGTTTGTTGGCTGTAAATGTCTCTGTGAATCTTTCAATAAATATTACATCTATTTATAAAATAATTCTAAAGAACTAGTATAAATAGGATTTTTTTAGAAATATTTTCATGTGGCAGTCTATTTGGTTGCATGTTACATTGATTTTCATGTCTAAGATGGAAAGAAAAATATA